TGAAACCTAAACCCCTACCAGAGGTCCAGAGCTTACCAGCCACAAGCGATAAATCATACATAGAGCAGGGGCTTGCCCTTTCCATGGACCAGATTGACGTTTCATCGTTGAAAGTTAAGTTGAAGTGAAAGGTGTATCGATAGGAATTTGTTAGAAGGAGATGATCACTTGGTTCTTTGCCAGATTGGAGATCGGAGATCTGTGTGAAGTGACATTGAAATCGCATCTATCGGGACCATGATGACAACACTTACTTACCATCCTCCAATTAAATATAAACATATCAGATCACAACCCTTTGTTAAAATTCAAAATATCATGTGATCTGCTTTTTATCTTTTTAACATTTTCCTTCTTCTCTTTTTTCAAGCTCACAGATGATTGCTTCAGTTCATTTCAATGCTTAATTTTTGTGGTGGGGGAGGGAGATTGTTTCAATGTTCATTTTCTAACGTGTGGATTCCCCACCCCCACACCTCCTTTAGAAAAAGTTGAGGCAACGAATGAGGCAGAGTGGGTTACTATTTATGATCATAATTGGTCAATTATACCACAGAAAGGAATTTATAAAGGGTAAGGTCAAGCAAACCCCTCATGGTGGGGCCCCATCTCTACTAGTACAGGGGACAAATGGCGTTTGTGGAGAAGGGGCATCATTATTTGGCATGGCCCTTCAATGTATGAAAGCATGGTTTTTAAAAGCGAACCGGTGATTGAATCGCTCAGGGGTTCAGTTATCGGTTTGAACGGTCTGACCATTCGATTCGAATGGCCGGTCCATTCTGACAAAAAAATTAAAAAAATTGAAAAACGGTCAAAATGGTTCGAACGGTTATCTGACTGGTTCAACGATTTATTAACCAAAATCAATGGTTTTAAGGAAAAAAACGGTTTTGGAGGAAAATGGAACCAATCAAGTGACCGGTTCCCGGTTTTCCGGTCCGAACGTCCAGTCTGATCCGGTTTTAAAAACAGTGTATGGAAGTAATCCTCGAATAATCTTTCGTCAATTTGATCAATTTTGTACGTTGATTTGTTGTTTTGCCACAAAAGCTGTCATTTGTCACAAACATATAGTAACATGATTCGAGGCTAAGGTTCTAAGTTTAGGACAAAACAACAAAATTCGAAAAAAAAATATTCGAAGGCAATTGTAGTTTGTAGAAGAACCCCCAACCCCAAGTGACAAATGATTCAGGAAAGATTATATTTGTCGTAAGATAAGACCTAGAAGAGCAGCGCAAACAATAATTTTTAAATGAATTATAGAATAATTAATCATGATTTTTGAACTTTCGTTGATCCAAATGGTTAGGCCGTTCAGCCCGAAAATTATTCAGATAACTAGTTTTATTTCACTCCTGACCTGATTTTTTTGCCAAAAATCATTAATTTGATCAACAATCCATTAATCCGAACTGTCAAACCATCCACCAGTTCAATCCAGACAACGATTTAGCTGTTTTTATTTTAATTATTATTTTTTTTATTTTTTATTTTGCAACGAATCATCTGTGGTCGAACTGCTGACCTAAAAACCTGTGGCCAAAGTAATTCCAATTTAGGGTCAGTTTTTTAAACATTGTAATTGCAAACTACAAAAGCATTTGCTGTTGAATTTGGAAACCAACCCAGAAAGAGGAACATTTCCCTGTTGATTTCTCTGAACCTTGTCCTATCAGAATGGCAGCTGCCCGCCCAGACTCGGGTACAGAGCAATTACCTTACATTTGCACGGGCCATAGCCAATGAGCCATAACATCAGTCCTGATAAGAGTTATAGCTGCCAAGTTTGGACCAGTTGGTAGATCCTAAAATACAGAGATCAGCAGTTTCTTTTATTAGTTTTATTAGTTGAACCATTGGAACCAGCAAACCAGAACAAAAGATGGTTCAGTGACCTGACAAATTGTTGTCAGACCTTACTCTATTGTTTACAACACGTATAAAATTTGCTAGACTCAGGTGTGCAGTACACCTTCAGGTTACCATTGCACCAAACAGTGCTGGATGGCCCCTTAAATAAGTACCTAAGGCCTTGTTTGTGTGCAGTGTAATGTCATTTGTACTAGTGCAAAAGTACGGGACTGCAAATGAGTTGAGTCTCCATTTTAGTTTAATTTTGTTTTAGGTTTCTCTTTATTTTGTTTATTTGCAATGCAATCAAAATAAAATAAAAACTGAAGCCAAATAAATAAAAGTCAGCACAAAATGTACCGAAATCTGCAATTTTCTCATTTGCACTCCTATGCATTTGTATTATTACAAATGAAATTGCAAAGGAAACAAACCAAACCTAAATGACTAATATATATTTACCCCCTTAAAATTCCGAAGTTCACATGGATATTCTTCCAGAAAGCATCAATAGGAATGCTAATCGAGCCCTGATGCATGGAATTAGATCAGGGCCTGTAAATCTGTAATTGTTAAGCTCCAATACTATGAAACCAGGCTGGAGGCTGCTAATTGAAGTCCTGGATATAATAACCATTAATGAGTAATAGTGTACCCATACATTGAAAAAGCTCAGATAAACTCAAAAAATGCATCAATAAAACTAAGTATAGTACTTAAAAGACAACAAATCAGATATAAACACATATTTCAATAGTTTATGTACTTAAAAGACAACAAATCAGAATACACTCAGAGAAAATGAACCCAATATAAATTTCATCAATATTTGTAAAAGCACTGATTTTAATGATTACTTCTCTTTTTTTTTTTTAATTTTCTGGCTAAACATTCACATAAAAACACTATTTATTTGATTTAAATGTGGCTTAGAAGTTAGTTAAAACCCATGTTATTTCAACCATTAGTACATTATTGTAATACAACTTACGGTACTACAAGGCTTCCTACTGATGATATCTACCAAAAAAATCCTACTAATGGCACAAAACTTCTTAAACAATGGCAACGCAAATAATACACACTGACGCACGTCAGTCCCTTGGGAACTGATAGAGATATGTCTGTACTCTGTATTAAATTTATTGTATCCATATTTTAAATCTTATCTAGGAGATGCCTGGGGAACAATGCTTATTGTGATGGTGGCAGGTAATATCTTGGAAACGGAGATTGGAGAACAACTAAATAAATTGTAACACAATTAAAGAAAATTATCATTAATCTTCAATTTTATCAATACTTAAAAGTTAAAACAATTTGTTTCCAAGTGTAGAAGTGCACCACATATCCCCCCGTGATGCAAAAGCAAGTTCATCTTCAATTTTACCCAAAATGCTGATCGGTCGGTCCTACTAACCTTTGGTATCTTTCTGGTACAAAGGGGCGCTCTCAGATTCGTATTCTTAATTTCTTATGCTTGTCAACAAGATAGATTACCTTGATTCCAAGCAATTGTCCCTCATAACACAGTTCTCTGAAGATAAAGTCACCTAGAAGGCTAGACCACCAAGCTCCTTGTAGTACCAAGAACAACCCCAACTCCAGTAATTATTCCCCCTTTCCTCCATAGTCATTCATCCTGACAAAAAAAGTCTACAGACCCATGAAAAACTAGCACGGACATAGCCTTGTGATTCTAAACTTTCACAAAGATATTCCTAGTCTCGGTTTATTCTGACATATTTTACTGCCATAACTCAGACATCTAAGAATCCACATCCTTATTGTTATGTTTGGTTTGAAAGAAAAAATAGGGAAAGGAAGAGAAAGATAGGGAAACCTTTATAAACCGGAAAAAGACAACAATTTTGTTAGAACAAAATATATTGAAAAAAATGTAAAAATGATTCTCTAAACCCGAGAGGCTCTAAAACAGATTAAAGAAATGGAAAACGTATAGAAAAACAATTAATTTTCAGGTTCTTTCTTTTTTTTTTTTTGTTTGAATTTTCCAATTTTTCCTTCATCTCTCATCTTTCTTTTTCTTTTTTCGTTTAGCATCATCACACTTCTTTCCCTACTTACACAGGGATGTAGATGCCTCTTGTGTCGGCTTGGGTTGAGAAATTGAATTTGAACGGGCCGGAGCCCGAGCCCGAGCCCAAACCCCTATATAAGTTGAAAATTTTCAAACTAGGCAACCCAATTTTTCTTCGATGGATAATTAGGCAACTCAATTTGCACCGCTAATACAGAATTCTTCCACTTCTTTTTCCTAATTCTACAATCCAACTTTTACTTGACCTTTTTACCCAATTTCTTTCACTCCTTATTTTCCAGCAGAGAAAAATTAGATATGAAATTTTGATAGAGTTACCACATTTTAATACAAATTATTAACTACATCAACTGAAATGAGCTCTGCGGCATAGTGCTGTCATTAGTAATGTAGAAACTAGAAGGAAAGGAAATTGGATTTTAGTTCGCGTCTGTATATGCATGCATGCAATAATGTAGGTGCAAGAACATTACCATCATGTTGAAGTGCACTCGCTGCATGATCAACTTAGCCATGGGAGAAATTGGGATAGAGCGGAAGGCAGTCATTATCTTTCTTTGATTTCGTACGGAAAATACAAAGGCGGATTAGAGGTGAAGAAGACATACATAAAATGCAATATTTCATTTATTTTGGCCATTGCACCCTATAGACTCGATGGACCAACTGATCTGGCCTAACACAATTTCTGGTTCAACCTTAAGAGAATCTTCAGATGATATACAACCATTGACATGTATATGTGTTTGATGACTTCCAGATAGCATTCGGCAATATTTTCTAGAGCCTCACTTTTAATGTTGAGCAGAAGTAAAGAATTTGACTTCAAGATTGTCAAATCTGAGTAGTAACAGCAATAATCAATCAAAAGACCATGGCCAAACCAACAGAAAACCCGCAGTCCAACTGAAAAAATATTCCATAGTCAATGACCTTTCGATTCACATTTCACAAAGGATATTTCAAAGAATAAGGTTTTCTTCGAGTTTCTGGCCTTTTTTTTCCCTTTGAGCAGCAAATTTCTGGCATATGTCATGAAAAGACGGCATGAGAACTCAAAAACGGTTTCAACTTGAAAACATTAATACTCAACGGGCATTTTATTTGTGTATGGAAAACACAATGAGAACTCCATGAGATCCTGCCACCAGTGCATACAAAATAGGATGATATTCAAGGAATCATAGTTCTAGGACACAAAGGTGAAAAAAAAATCATTTATATATCATATTTCACCTCAAGAAATGCTCTTTTCTCCAGTCATACTGATTAGGAAATTAAAAAAAAAAAAGAAAAGAAAAAAGAGAGCTAGATACAAAACCTGCAGGTCAACAATTTCACAAGTGCCTGCAGATATTACAATAAGAATCTCTATTCTGACTTGAAAAGAAATTGTGGGAGTGTGAAATATTAAACCTCATGGGGAATACAGGTTCGCAGTCATATTTTTATACTCCCCCAGCCATAGAATCTGATGTTTCAGTGTTAATATGTCCTGTAAATGCCAAGAAATAGAAATTATTAATAGTTGTAGAAAGATTGAAAACTAAAATGAGTTTGAGAAGAGATGAATAACGTGGACAATAAATTGATGCTCACAAACTAGGTGACATGACTGATGCCTTATAGTCCATGTGACTTAGGGTCACAGGTTTAACATCCATGCAATCTGATATAGCAAGAGTAGGAGATGCTTCAATCAAGATTTCCATCAATTGTGCCCATAAAAAATTTTATCAACAGCAATCAAAGAACCAAAAGTAATATTAAGCGTTGAGATGGATTTAAACACATGGTAGAATGGTCAGATTGGAACTTCTGAGATACCAGAGTAGGGCAAGGTAAAATAGTGAAGATCTGAAGCACAAGTACCTTATGCTAAGACGTAGACAATCATTAGTAGGAGAATAAAGGTCAAATACAAATGAGAGGATGTTTCAAAATTCCTCCTTTTATATTTTTCAACAACAAAGCTGAAGAGTATAGTATTATAGATGTGAAATACAATAAACCCTTCCACAGAATAGAAGGGGGAGACAGGGTAAACAACCTACAGCTGTCACAGAAACAATCATTTTCTTATCAAAAACCTAGACTTTATTGATTTGATATAAAAGAATGAAACTGTTGAAGATTAATTAGTTTTTTGAGTGTTATATATGCTGTTTTATGTTTTGCCGCCCTATAAGGGCATAGTTGTCTTTGTACTATTCTATTACTTTAGTATAAATAATAAGTGAAGGGGGTGGCCAGAGGATTGCTCTCTTTTCTTTCAACTTCTCTTCTTCTCCTCTCTTCCTTCTCTCTTCAAGAAACTACTTTCTTTCATATTTTTTAATTCAGCAGATTTCTACTTGGTATCAGAGCRWCGRCTAGGGTTTCTTGAAGCATTCTCATGCAGCCCTAGATCAGCCAACTGCATGAAGTAGTAAAGGGCTGATCGATCTGCTATAGATTGCCCAGTTCTTGGAG